GGCAGTGAGGTTGGTTTGGGTTTGATACTGGAGTGCCCACACCCATATGCATGGACTTATTGAATCTGTGTTTACTCATCTCTCAGGGATCAGTGGATGGCTGCAGACAAAGTTTCTCAAAAAAGACACTTATTTCACTAGAGTGCCTTATACAAAAAGGTCATGTGTGTGTGTGTGTGTGCGCGCGCCATGGGAAAGATGAATGCTAGGTCAGGGCTAGTATTAACAAACCTCAAGTGGAGATCTCCACAAGTCATTGAATCTTTGCAACACATTTACAGGAATGCTCCCTGCCCCCTCACCCTGCCTGCCCCCCCCTACTGCTTTTAAATGGATCAAGTCATTTATAGAAGGTCCCAAAGACCTCAAGATGACCCAAGAGAGGGATGGCCATCAGCCGCGGTGAATGACAAAAATAACTGACTGTTGTCCAGAAAGGGGTGAGAGAAAATGTTCGAATTGCCCCCACTGAGCTAGCTGTGGAAGTTAGGATTTCACGTGGTTCAGCAATTTTCCATTTTAAGTGGACTTTTAGGTCCCAGAAAGTTTTCAGCTCCAAGAGTGACCACATGGTGTGCAAAGATCAGTTGCTCAATTTTTTTTATCTATAATTTTGAAAAGCAAAATAGAAGCTAATAAAGATGGTTTTACTTTTCAGAAAGCATTATAACCTGGATGAGTCTTGGATTTACCAATATGGCCCACAGAGCAAGGTCCAATCAAAACAATGGTGTCTGAGGGGATTTTCTCGGCTGGTGAAACTCAAGACAAAGAAATCAGTTCCGAAGGTTACAGCAACTGTTACACAGGATATCAATGGGGATCTGAATAGCTACTCACAAGGGACACAGGACAGTCACAGGGACTTATGAGGATAAAGTTTTAAAATTTTCTGAAAACTGCATGGTGAGGAAAAGGTCAAGAATGTTGTGCTCAGGAATTGTGTACCCCTTCCCCCCCACCCCCCCACCCCATCACAACAATGCACCTGCGCATTGTTTGAGGATAGCTTGGATTGTCCTAGGATAGACAACTTTACCTCATCCATCCTATAACCCTAACCTAGTGCCTTTAGACTTTCATTTTTTCCATCCCTCAAAGAACACTTAAAGGAGCAAGATTTGAGTCCCTTGAAGATGCTAAGACTGTCCTTTTGATATCCGAAGTGTATAGACCCAAAAGGATATGATGAGATACAATGGCTTCACAGTTTTGATAGTTTAATACAGATTTTGATGATTTTTATAGCGATACTTTGCCTCACCCTCCTATATGGTTATTGGCTCTGAGCAGCATGATTCTGGAAGGAGGGCAAACAAAGAAGCGTGGCGGGTGGGGCGTGGTGTTGTTGTTCGTGGAGGGAATGCATCCATTCCGTGAGTCCTCAATAGTTACTTGGTTTGTGTCCTCATTCATCTTTAAACTCCCAATAAAAATATGTTGATTTCCACTGCAGAAAACTTTTCACCTCCCACAGAACCAAGGGTGGAATCAAGTGTCTGCCCTCAGGTCCTCCCCACTTCAATAAAGAGTCACTCGTAGGCTAATTTTCGGACAGGCTCCTTTATATTTTGCTCTTCCATTTAATTCCAGCCAGGTAGCCCAGCTGTGGTGGTGCTTTGCTTCGAAGGGTTCTTCTTAAAAGAATGCGGAAGCTTGTGGAAAACAAGGCCTTTTATGTCGTTTTTCATAAATCCTGACTTACAAGTATTTCAGAAGGGGAAAAAAACAAAACAAAACAGAATGCGTTTGAGAGTTGAGATGGCATAAGAAGAGATTACTACCCACTTGGAGAGAGCTGGATGTTGGTGGGGTTAAGAGTATTGAGTATCAACATTTTTTGGTCTCTGATAGGCTCCAGGAAGGTGAGAAGACCTGAGACAATTGGGAAAGGTAAACCTAAGGTGGGACCTTAGCTGTTGGGTGGCAGGACCCAGCAATAGCAGTGTGCCCACTTAGGACAGGAGCAGCAGAGTCCAGGCAATTGAAAGGACAGACTTGGACCACTGACTTCTGGGTGGGGACCAGAGCAGACAGAAGACAACAGAAGCTCTGCACGACCCTGGGTAAGAGGATGGGTACCCTCAGTGATGATGATGGAAAGTTCTCCAAGCTGAGCTCCCCACTCTCCCCACTGCCATCGAGTCGATACTGACTCATCCCAATCCTACAGGACAGGGTAGAGCGGCCCTGGGAGTTTCCCAGACCATGACTGTTTACACTAGTAGAAAGCCCCACGTTCCCCTCTCAGAGCAACTGGTGATTCCCAACTGCCGATCTCGTGGATCCCAGGCCAGCTCGTAACCACTAGGCCACCAGGACTCCTCGGGAAACTGAGCAGAAGGGCTGATAACTGGAATAAACATGATTAAGAAATGCATCGTATATCATGCACACTTGTTTGCGAACCAATATCCTAATAATTATTTTAATAAAATCTGCTGAAAGAAGCTGTTTAAAAAAAATGTCAGGATATATTTGTCCTCCACAGTTGGGAATTCTTAAAGAAAATTATTTTTCTTATAGTTACATAGTTACATCTCCCCCATGGCTTCTAAATATTCTAAAGCAGATCCTTAGATGCCAAAGCTGCTCATCTTAGCCATCCAAGAAGACATTGGCAATGAATGTCTCCATAGAAAGAGAGAGTCCAGTACAAGGAGCAGAAGTAAAAAAGATAATGTGACACGAGCTTTGATAGCAAAACACAGGGCTGTCCATTCTTGCTGAGTTCTTCGTTAAGGCTATCAGTCATTTAAGTCCATACATCAAATCACACTAGTAAAATATTCATTAACTCCTTGCTAGCGAATATTATAATTGGTAATGGTAGATAGGTGCAGAAACTTTTAAGTAAAAAACAAAAAAACAAATGATGTCTGAGAGGCTTCAAAAAGTTCTCAGACACCTGCAACGAAAAGAACATGGAACTTCGCTATGAACTTTGTGAAGCCGCTCAGACTCCCCGCAAGTTGGACAGGAAGCTACTCCACTGTGTTTTTCGTACACCTGTGTTCCCAGGAAGTAGTTCTTACAAGCCTTCCGCACATGGCCTTACACACGAACTGCTTCTTTGTACCCTTTGTTGCTGCTATTGCTGTTGTTGATTGCAGCAAAATATTTGCAACACAAATTGTATCATTTTAAAGTATACAGTATAGAAATATTAATATCATTCACTGTGTTGTACAAAAGTCACCACTATTTGCAAATGTTTTTGATCAGTTCCAAACAAAAACTAGGTACCCCATAAATGATAACTCCCAATTTAACCACCTTCCCTAGCCCCTGATAACTACTAATGTACTTTGGTCTTGGTGCACGTGCACTTCTATTGTGCAGTGATTAAGTGCTAACCCAGAGGTCAACAGTTCAAACCCTTCTGTTGTCTCATTGGTGAAAGACATGGCAGTTGGCTTCCATAAGGATTCCGGTCTTGGAAACCATATGGGGCGGCTTTACTTTGTCTGACTCCCTATGAGTCAGATGCAACTTGACAGCAATATTTTCCCCTCCTGGAGGTCACACAATGTTTTTTCTGTCTGCCTTGTTTTGCTTTATGGCTAAATAATATTCATATGTGTATATATATTATGTATATTAATTAATTTTTATAGCCACGGGTTGTTTTCACTGTTTGCCCATGTGGCGTGTTACATTGAATTCACCCCTTTTTTCATAAAATTGGGCAAACAATAACTGCAAACATACAAAAACAGTTCCTTCCTCTCTAAAGAATCTTCAAGCTGTGTTCAGTTTCATGTGACAGCATCCTGGCGAAGTCCTATAGCAAGTCTTCTCTCCTAAGTTATACCGGCAGCTGCGTCGGAGCCTTCTCATGTTTGGCGTGTTTAAGAAGAGCTGATGTTCTGTGGTTTTCTTCCTCAGAGGGTGAAAAGGGACAGCAGGCCAACCCTCCAACCAGTTGGGTCAGAGTCCCTCCAGGGACCGCAGGCAATTCAGATCACTGGCTTCCACGGAGCCGCTCGTGCTGCGAGCCTAAAGGGTGTGTCTTCTCAAAGCTCTTCTTTCCTTTTGATTCAAAGTACATTTTAGGAACTAGTTATCTTCAGAAGGTAGCTTGGAGAATTATAAAGAGAGAATGACATGAATATATGAAGAGATCTATGAGTTGTCGTTTGTCATTTGAACTCAGAAATAATTCCACAGGGTTCTCCTCTTAGGGTTAGAGGTAGTATAGCTGTTTCTCCAAGTCGTCAGGCCTGTCTTATGCCTTCCTCTATGACAATCGAGATGGATACGTTCTTTGTAAAAGAAAAGGGAGCAAATACTCCAGAAGGTCATGCTCTTGGACTTGTTTTCACCCAACCAATAAAGATGCATTGATTCTTCTTCTGTTCAAGGTCCCCAATGTCTCTGGGGTTAGACCTTTGTAAGATTACTGCAATTAGGAAACTTATGAACCAGGTCCTGAACTTAACATCCTAAATATTATATTTAGCCAACTGAACTAAATGGCCAAAAGTAATCTTTAAAAGACATATAAAAAAACAAAAATAAAAGTGTAAAAATCTGTTCACCTGAACAACTGTCAGTGTCCCAATAAGCTTACCTGGAAGCTAAGAAGTAGAATTTGCTGTTGTTTCTCACCATAAATAAATAAATACAGGAAATAAAGTAACTGCACAGAAATTGGCATGCAACCAATAACTTGAATATTTTATGAGGCCCTAAGATATTTAACAAGCCACCAAAATTAAAATACATTGTGATTTCTACTTGAATTATTAAAGGGGGGAAAGATGACATTAAAAGTGTTGATCATGTTGAAGATAAAACACTACCCAGGCTAGTGATTACACTGAATTACAATGAGGAAAATTGGACTAAGACAGGAACTGTATGTACGAGCTTAGATTTATAGTCCAATCTAAGTTATCAAGGCCACTGAAAGTAGTGAGACAGTCTAAAGATGCAGTGTAAGGAAAGGCAGGGGGGTGGAGGAGACCTACCTGTCATGGCTTGCTGGTCATCCACTGTTAACTTTAAACCTTTTCCTCGACGAACCACACGCACGGTGTGCCATTCATTATCATTGAGATTATAGCCAGCAAAAAGGGTCTCGGGACCTTTGCCTGTAGAATATGCCAAACAGTCATTATGGACACTCAGAATCAGTCAAGCAAATGAACCTCACAGAGAAAGAGTTGGAGAGAGGGCTAAGGAAGGGGAGAGAGGGAAGGGGAAAGGAGAAAAGAGAGAAGAAGAAAGAAATGAGAGGGGAGAGAGAGAAAGGAAAGAAGAGAGATTGGCTGGACCAATGTGCAAACCCATTAGAGTGATAACAAGCAAGAAAAAGTGACAAATGAACAAACATTCAGGTGTGACCATTTAAGAAAAAATTTAACATTTTGCATTGGTCTAAGTCAAGAGAATCCACCTGTTGTCATAAATAGGCACAGTCACTAATATACTAGGACACTTCACAAACGTATACACACTTTCTCCCCCCATTCCACCCCCATCACTTTTTTTTAGGGAAATTCTCTAGTTTGTGTAGTTACCACTGGGTTGTTAAAGGAGTGGCTAGAATTGACGTAGCCTCTGACTGAAGGGGGTGATCTGAAGACCTTGGGTAATTAGTTAGTCATTTCTAACAACTGGTTGAGTAGACTCCAGTGAGGGGACAGCTCAGGTACTGAGGTTTGGCAGTTCCTCACCCTCTAACCAAGGATTGTCGATGTTAATCATGTTTTCCCTTTTCTTTGCCTCCTACATTCATGGAAGCTTGTATCCAAATCCTAAATCTGTAAAATCCGCTGTATAATGAATTGACCTATATGGTACAAATCTCTGGGCAGGTCACAAGACGGAGAAGTAGTACAACCAAAAGTGTAATTACTGGGAAAGTAGTTACCTGTCAGTGCGTCTTTATGAATTCGTGAAAATGTGATTTAAATTGGCTTAGAACAAACATTCCGCATGTGTTATGATATGGAAATGATTCAAATGACAATGTGAGAGTATATCCCTTCAACTTTAATATCAAGCACGGAATAAATTTAGCTTTCAATATAACCAGACATTAATATTATTTCTGCTAATCAGATATCATGACTCATTGATAGAAAAAACAAGTATTTTAAGTATATGTTATTTGGTGATGGATTTTTTTCCTTCTATTTAGACACTTATCGCTGTTCTGTCAGTTCATCATATCGTGGTAGCTGTGCTCCTGGGCTGTCGGCAGGTATGCATTTGAAATACTGGTCCTCCACGGTGGACAGGTTTCAGCAGAACTTCCAGACTGAGACAGAGTAGAACGAAGTACCTGACAATCTGCTGCTTACAAAAGTGGACAGTAAAAGCATTATGAATAGCATTGGAGCATTGTCTGTTATAATGCCTGAAGATGGCCCTATCAGAGGCCAGGCACTCAAACTACAACAGAAGAGCTGCCTCTTCAAAGCAGAGCAGACCGTAATGAGGTGGATGAAGTAATGCTGTTAGGGTGTTTATTTGCTGATGTGGCATGACTCAAAATGAGAAGGAACAGCTACAAACATTCACCAATAATCAAAACATGGACTGCATAAAATACAAGTCGTGGAAAATTGGAAATGGTCAACAAATGAAAGGACGTGCTTGCAGACAGGCACCTAGGCATTGGTGAGGTGGAATGGCTTGGTACCGGTCAGTGAGACTGACAATCATATGGTGTACTAGACTGGGAGTGACAAACTGAAGGGAATGGTATCACAGGCATCATTAAGAAGAGCACTTAAAGACCTGCATTGAAATACAACGCTGTATTCCTAGGCCTAAAAGAAGGATCGGTTAATATGACTGTTTTTCAGAGTTACACACCAACCACCAATGTCACAGATTAAGAAATGAAAGATTTTTACCATATTATGCAGCGTGAAATTGATCACATATGTAATTAAGATGTGTTGATAATTACTGGTAATTGGAAAGCAAAAGTTGGAAACAGAGATGAATGAATGGATATGTTGGAAAATATGGCCTCGATTCAGGAGACTTCGTGATAGAATTTTGCAAGAAAAACAAACTATTCAATGTACGTATCTCTATTCAACAACATAAATGGCCACTATACTCAGACCTTACCAGATGGTGTACACAAAAACCAAATCAATTACTTCTGGGGAAGTGACAATAAAGATGCCCAGCATCATCAGTAAGAACAAGACCCAAACCGACCATCAATTGCTCAAATTCAAGTTCAGGATGCAGTTGAGGAAAATTAAAATTCTAGAAGAACCAATGTACAACCATGAGTATATCCCACCCGAGTTTAGAAGCCTATCAAGATTTTATCAAGGAAAAATGTGACCCATTGAACATCTATGACCAAAGAGTTGTGGGATGACATCAAAGACACCACACATCAAGAGAGCAAAGCTCAAAAAGACTTATTTCCGTTGAGTCCATTCCAACTCACTATGAACCTGTAGAACGGAGTCGAATCGGCTTTGTGGCTTCTGAAAGCCTCATCTTTTTTCCTTGAAGCAGATGGTGGTTTCATACTACTGACCTTGTGATTAGCAGCCCACCATGTAACCCACTACCACTGGAGGTCCATAAGAAAACAAGAAAGAAAAAGAGAAAAAGAAAAACATGAACAAAAATAAAAACCTTCAGTGCCATCCAGTCTATGCTGAGTCATAGCAAATCTATAGGACAGAGGAGAACTGCCCCTGTGGGGGTTTCTGTAACTCTTGACACAAATAGAAAGCCTCGTGGATGGATGGGTGGATGGATGGATGGATGGATGGATTTTGATAAGAGTTGTACAAGCCCCCAATAAAATGGAAAAAAAAAAAGAAGTAAGAAAGCCTCATATTTCTCTTTCAGAGCTGCAGGTGGTTGAGAACTGGTGTCATTGCAATTAGCAGCCCAATGTGTAACCACTAAGCCATCAGGACTCCTAAGAAAGCAAGAAGCATTAAAAAGACAGGAAAGAAGGAAAAAACCTAAATGGATGGCAGAAGAGACCGAAACATACTGTTGAGCATAGGGTAGCTGAAGCATATGAAAAGAAATGAAGTAAAAGAGATGAACAGATTTCAAAGGGAGACAAGAAAGCAAAGTAAATTATTAGAGTGAAATGTAAAAAACAAAACTTGGAGACAGAAAATCAAAAGAAAACATTCTTAACTATTTCTCAAACAAAAAGATTGAAGGAAAAACTTCAAGCCTGGAGCTGAAATATTGAAGGATTCTATGTGTAACAACAATAAAAGAAGATTGAAGGAATACACAGAGTCACTGTACCAAAAGGAATTGGTTTACTTTCAACAATTCCATGATCAAGAACTCATGATACAGAAGGAGAAAATGCAACGAGCATAGAAGACATTGGTGAAAAACAGGGCTCCAGGGATTGACATAATACCACCTGAGCTGTTTCAACAGGCAGATGCAATATTGGAATCATTCACTTATTTATAGCAAGAAATTTGCAATACAGATGCAGGGCCAACTTAATGGGAGATGGCCATACGCTTTTATATTGAAAGGAAAGGTGATGAAACAGAATGTGGAAATGATTGAACAATATCATGTGGAAGTAAAATTTTGCCGAAGACAATTCAAAAATGATTGCAGTAGCACCTTTATGGAGAGCTGCTGGAAATTCAAAGTGAATACAGAAGAGGATATGGAATTAGAAATATAATTAATTATGCCAGATAGAACTTGGCCGAAAGTAGAAAGCACCCAAAAGATAGTCATTTGTGTTTTTAACCATGTGAATCATAGCAAATTATATATAGCTTTTTAAAAAATGGGTATTCCAAAGCACTTAATTGTGCTCATGTATTATTGGTACAACTATATAGAACAAGAGGGCAGTCATCCAAACAGAACAAAGATATAGTGTATGGGTTAAAGTCGGAGAGGTGAGCATTAGGATTGTATCCTTCCACCATACTTACTCAATCTATGTGCTGAACAAATGATCCAAGAAATTGGATGACAGGAAGAACTCAGGATTGGAAGAAGACTCATTACTACTTTGTAATATATAGACAACAATAATATGTATTGAAGCTTGCTGTTGCATCGAAATAATGAGGGGGATTGTATCATTGAATTTTATGACCTTCAATTGACTAAAGACCACTGCTAGAGTTCATAACTTCTTCAAAATAATCCACCAGTAAGATGAATAAATGTACAAGGATCCTAGGAGTATGTATGATAAGGGCAAGATATAATTCAGGGAGAAGGATAAAAAAAAAAGCAGAAAGATTGGATGGATGGGTGGATGGGTGGATGGG